GCAAGGGCAAAACTGTACAAAGGGGATGATCTGACTGTCTACTAGCTGTGGGAAGATGCGGTCGGCAAACCGCCCACAACAAGTGAAATAACAAAAAGAATACGGGTGACAACACCCAGGGGCGCTTATTCATTCGTCTATGTTTGGCAGCCAGAAGGAGGTCTGCTGAGATCCGGTGGCAAGCATAGCGAAACGCGGATTAAAGAGGACACAATGCAGAGTGGGATTGGCCATCTGACTGGCTGCCTCGAAGCTAGGCAGGCTGGCGACCAGAGCACCACCGCCGGTCTCCAGGGCCCAAATGTGCAGGAAGCCGTCAGTGGGTGAGGTGGAGATGACAAACTGACTGTTGGGTGCAAAGCAGGCGTCCACCGGCAGGTGTTCCGGGTTGCCGCCTGGAATCTGTGAGGCAGGTAGAGGAAAAAACGACAGTTAGGAGGCATGCGGATCAAAAAGTGTCACTTTTAAAATAGTATTTGCAAACTGTCAGTGGCATTGATTTTTACAAATAACTCTTGCCTGGTATTAGTTTTAGTTCCGACTGTCGAGGGGCAACAGGGGACACATGCAACTACCCAAGCGTGCCTTGAAGACCTGTGGGGACGACACCTCTACGGGAGGTTATTCCCGTGAAGGCAACTTGGCAGACTTGTATGCTCATCGTTAAGTATACAGTACGCGCCACAATTCGTGCAACATGCCGACATTTGCGAAAGATTGATACTCACTCGCTAATCAGCATTGAGTAAGATTGTAATACTGATTAGCATGTAGCCTATTCTCAGGTCATTTCACTCATGATAGGATGCCGGCTTGTTAACGAGCTTTCTTCTGACCACCAACAAAAAAAGTTACAGTAAAAAATTCCTACACACACATTTTAGGTGGTATCAGTGAATTGACTGATACGATGTATCTTGAATGAACACCCCACAATTGTAAAAAGCGTCATAATTAGAAACTTGCTTAAACCGAAAGATAGCCTTTCTTTAAGTATAAAATTTAAAGAAGGCGTAATATGCTACCAAACGAGTACAAGAAATAGTTTTTTCGTGAATTATTTTTCTATGAAGTATATTTGAAATTATAAAGACGGTAAAAATAAGTGATGAAAATATATGCTACTAAGGTAGCCATTTTTTGCAGTACGTCCTTTTTGTTGGCGGTCAGAAGGACGCTCGTTAAAAAAACTATCATCATGGGACTTGAGAATAGGCTACATGAGAATCAATCTTACTCAATGAGGATTAGCAAGTGAATATCAATCTTTCGCAAAAGTCGGCATGTTGCGCGAATTCTGTGTTGTATTCTATACGCACAGAAGACGAGTTCTACTTGTGTTAGAAACTACGGTGAATTTGTTAACCAGTGAAAATCCTCATAAGACGATTCGGAAAAAAAAAAACAGTAACCCGATGATGGATGCTTTTCCCTACGTTTCAATTACTTTTAACTGAAAGAGACAATAAAACCGATTGTTTGTAGACGTTCTCTGTAAGACTTGGATTCTACAAAGAGTCGGTGACTTAATTCATGAAATACGTCTACATTAATGAAATATCACTGACAAAGTTGAACGCATACATTAAAACGCCAAACTGGTAATCAACGACCCTCGGGAACATGGGAACGTATCAACGATTTCGACTATGTCCACCGCCTGCTTCAGCAGGCTGAAGGCCAACTGTATGCTCCACGCAGGTGCAAGGATTCGTGAATAGCGTGTGAATTAGTTTAATGTCATAGTACACATGCACAGCATTTACCGCACTCTCTTCTTCCCCACCTGCCTGTGGTCGTTTTCAAGGCGGAGTAAGGAGAAGACCGGAGGCGGGATCGGGATCGGGCGCAGGTGGCTAGCGCAGCCGAGATGGCGCCACACCTGGCTAGGATCTCAGCTGTGTATGAGTGCCCTAGAGGTCGCATTAAGGAGCCATTGCAGCCTAACTCTCAGGCCGCCGGTCAGACACTGCACACAACACAGCACACAATGGGCA